GCTTTCGTTTTGAAGGGATTGTTCGAAAACAGCGGAGTTCGGGGTTTCGTTTGAAGGGATTCTTTTAGAAGGAAGGTTTTGGGTTGAAAGCCGTGATGCTTAGAAGGAAATCAATTCAGAAACTCAGCATTTAAGAGGCAAGACTAAAAGTTTTGTCACAAAAATCAAAATAGAGGGGATATTAAAGGTTGCCGTCTCTTTTAATCAATAATGAAGTTTGATTCATTTTCCATGTGAACTGATATTTTAATATGTGTAATACATTTATGAGAATTTATATGTGAAGTTTGATATTTTCATAAAAATTTATGAGAAACATTTTTATGATTCGTTTATTGAAACCCTTTCTATTATAAATGTATTAAAGTAAATGTATGATTAAAGTGTAAGTTAATAAATATAACTTTTCAATAAGAATCTCAATAATTATATTGCAAATTAAATTTATAACCTATTAATAACTAATTTAATGTTTTCAATAAGAATCGATGTGAATATTGAATTATAAAAGCATGTAATATTTGAAATAAAATAGAAAATTTAACACAGGCAACATTAACCACAATTCCAAGTGATAACTTGAGTCCTTCTGGAAGACCCCATAATTCTGCCAGAAAATTGGATGCACAGCCAACATTAACCACAAAACCAAAGATCCAATTCCCTAAGAAATCTCTAATTAGACCCCCTGCACTTGCAGAATTGCTAGCAACATTGAAAGGGCCATCTTAGCTTGTACAAGTTGATAAGCAGAGTTGACAATAAATAAACCATCCATTGAATTGGCCCAGAAAACGCCATCTTGTAGCTGTGAATTATGAGACAGTGGAATTGCTCTTATCTTTTCCATTGTCTCTGCTGGAACCAATTCATGCAAGAGTTCAAGATTCCATTCCCTGTTTGAATTAATGGTCTCCGATACCAGCAGAGGGGAGAGTAGGAGGCTCATTACAAGAGCTAATAAGTGGGGCATCCCCTACCCAAGCATCCTGCCAAAAACGCACCTTCTCTCCAGAGCCTTGAAAAGGCTTAAATTGAACCTTTGAAAAATCATCAATATTCACTTGCAATTATATTTATACTTTAAAGAAGTAAAAAAATTTTCCTCGAAAAAAAAAAAAAGAAGTAAATTTTTTTTTCATACACAATGATCAAAATAGTTAGTAAGTGGAAACAGTTGAGAAGAGAGAAGAGAAAGAGTTAGTGAGTGGAAAAATCATCAATATTAACATTTTTATACTTCCTTCTATCTTCTCCATCCGCTTCATTTTTCCCATATTCTTCTTTTATCTGTATTACTCATAACTAAGGAGTGCTTTCACTTCTTCATGCCCTGACAACCAATTCACACTTTAATCATTTTATAATTTTTGGGGAAAAAATTTCAATTACAAAATAGTTAAATGTGTATAAGGCATTTCATATCATTATCTACTAATCCATCCATCATAATACAATCAATTTGGATGACAATTCATGCACTCTCCGTATTCATGCCTTAAGTAAAAGTGGCCCACGTAAGCTTGCCAGCCATGAAATGAGCAATTAACAAAATCCAAAATAACGTGGGCCAATGAAAATGGAAGTATTGGTTGGAGAGTGCAATTGGCGAGTGTCCCTACAATTGGTCTGCAAGTTATGGGGTAAAAATTAAAATATTTCGATGACTCCACAGTTAAAACACAAGAATTTTTTAAAGGGTTCTCTTTGGAGTGTTATTTTTCTTTCCCAAAATGCAAATCAAAATTGTCCCTCTCCCTAAACCTTTAACACATTTGTAATTCATCTTTCCATCCAAAGATACCAATTGCGAAATGAAAATGAGATCTATGGAGGAAATAATTGCCCATTTCCATCACACCATGAACTCCACTGAGATGACTGTTGTTCGGGCTCAGCTTGCAAATTTGGAAAGCATTCGCCGGCGATTCAGAGCTATATGGTTCACCAATGCCATACGCTTCGTTCAATCAAAACATTTCAGGAGGTAGCACTGGAGTTTTGGCTGCATGAAAATTGGTTAGTGTTGTTGGGATTGTTGGTAGAGGATGATAACCAGCTCCCAGGCATGAGCTTTTAGCTGCTCAGAGAACACGCTGCCGCGGATGAGCAGCTGTTGAGGACGCCTTTCAAAGTGGTCAGAGATGAACATGGGATGAAAGTGATAAGTTTGTTCCTTCCACGGTTGGTTGGAAACATTGGAGTTGAAGCATCTCACTGGTTGAAATTACGAGATGAGGAAGAGAGATTCGCCCGCTGCTACCTCATGCTATAGAAGTACATTCAGATCACTAGCCAAGGGGGACTGTTATGGGAGGACTTAATAAGCAGTGAAAGTGTGGGCACACAACTTTTGGGGAAAAATGATAAGCCGAGGTGCATAGTACCACCAAATGAGCTTTTCATAACCAAAATCCAAACACAACAGGATGTATGTGCAGTGCAACTGAATTGTGTTTGGTCTTCCACCGTACCAATGGAAGAGATGAATTTCGTTGCTGAGATTATAGGAACAGGGACAGTGGCTGAAGATTTGGTGATTAGGAGCTTTAAACCAGTACCTATTGTCATATGGAATGTCAGAAACGCCCACAGAGATCATTTTGCAAATGCAGTCATGGACTTATGTGCTAGGAATTTGGCAGACGTTATTTTTCTGTTTAATACACGGCTCACATTTGATGGTGCAGTGTAGAGGATCTTAGAGACACTCCCATATGACACATAGTATTCAATAACGGAACAAGATCTAAGAGGCGGATCAACTGTTATGTGGAACGGTAGTCAGGTAAATTTACTTTGTGGAGGATGGAAGTATGCAGGAGAAGTTAACAGCTGGGTTTCCGTTGTCAGTCAGCTTGAAGAGGGGACTTGGTGAAAGGGAAATTCACAAACTGCTGCACATTGCTTATGTATTGCTGCAACTACTTGTTTCTCTGTTTAGATTGTGCTAAATTTACCATCAGGTAGGTTTATCAGTTAGTTTAGGTGTTTCCCTTAACTTTAGTACTAAGAATTAATGTTTAAATGGTTCTCTTGGGTACCTTGCTTCTTGTTGTAGTCCATCTTCCTTCTTTTTTTT